TATGTTTCAAATCAAATATTACGTTTTTTTTTTAATAATAAAAGGAGCTAATGATATGGTGGGCCCCGCTGTCAGTGGTGGACCGCCACATGACTCCCGCCCACCATGGTGAGATCCTCCCAACACCANATGAAGGAGGAAGTGATGTGAAAGAAGAGGGACAGATGATAATGAGATGGATCGTCGAAAGCTCGGTCGATAAAAACTGACAGACACTTTCGATTGGATAATGATGAGTATGTATATGAGGTGAAGGATGACGCCTTTAGAAAGACGATTTGAAGGCTGCCGGGACAACAGGCCCCGGCAGTTGGGGTAAGGAAAGAGCCTAGGCCGAAAAAAAGCACGGCTAGACAAGCTATAGCCTGGGAAAGGACTCTAGCTGAGGATCCAATATTACGTTTTCCAAAAGGGTTCTCAATAGGAATATGAGCTTGTTTTTGGCCTGGACTCAATGAATATTTCTTGAATATGTGGATAACAAATGATGAAGTGTCCGTGTTGATTTATTCCTATAATGAGACTAGGCGAGACATATGTCAAGGTACTAAACAATCCTGCGAGTGACGATTCCAGGGAAAGAGGGAAGGGAACTTTTGTGTACTGTGCGAAAAGCGAGACCCTTACCTCCATCTAGTGGCCTGGCGAAGAACTTCAAGGTGTTCACTTCAATACGATCGATGAGGGAGCATCTGGTGAGTAATAAGAGAGTAAATTCGAAAAGCTCACGGTGTGCTCACTTTTTACTCCCCAAACGCTCGGAATTTTCTAAGAGCGCAGGGCTCTCTCATCGATCTCGGAAACAGTCAATAAATTTGTAGACTGTTTTTCTTGAGAGAACTGTTCAGCCATTTATTCCCTTACTCTCGAAACTCTTTCGTCGTTACCCCTGATGCTAATTGTGACCATATTCATGGGCCGCAGCAACCGCATAAACCAAGTTGAGAGTTGTTTCTGTTCTACTGTAGTATTCTATAGATGCAGTATATAATATTTTGTGGCCTCCTGGGTTGCAACAGGAAAGAACGAAAAGTGAGATGAGAAAAAGCTAAGAAAGCACTAAGTGGTTGGATAAAGCTAACGAGCTCTATATTGGCATAATTAATTGTACGTAATTCAATAATCATGTGTCTTTACCAGCATAATTAAAAAATGAACTTCATTCCATGAGCCCCCAAAAAACCTCAGAAGTTGCGGGCAGAGAGGCTGCTTTCTCAGAAACGAAAAGTATTTATCAGTAGGGATCAGGAAAACGAAAGACAATTCCTGCTGAATGCAAAACGTTCTCCGCACAACAATCGCACGCCTAGGGGCTTAATGCTTCTAATATAGAAATTTGCTATTTGCCCAATCAAATCATTAATATTTTTATTTATGAGAAAATGTATTTATCACAATAATTTTTGTCGCTCTTTGTACCTGAAGAACATTTTTTAAATTGCTGAGTACGGTATGTTAACTAATGACAACTATTTACTTCTTAGCTACATGTAATTAATTATATTGTAAAAAAGAACTCCTTTAGTTCTCTCCAACCACATACTGTTTTACAAAGTTTTGCTTATCCCAGTTATCATTGCTATTGCAACCCAAGGATCTCCAAGATATTAAAATGGGGGTTGGGAAGAAGTAAAAAGTGTCAGTTGCTCCCGAGCATCACCTGCTACTAAGTTGCACGTCGGTGAAGCGGGTCTCGAAAGGTTTTTTCATTAAAAAAATGTTGTGGTGCCAGATGGTGCAACATATCGCCTGTGTTATGCAAGAAGGGCATTAGCGTCTTTGAGGTAACCGCCTCTAACAGTCCTTTAGCTGTTATAAAGGACACACATGCCCTTCTTAAATAGCCATGGCGTTGGAGCTGTGCTTCGGACGCTTATGTCTTTATAGCACAATGTGCAACAATATGAAAGAAGTTCACTGAAGGGAAAAGCTTATATTTGAGGTGTTTAGCGGTTATGCCCCTCTTGCATAACACAGACAGGAAACGACCATGGACAATCCAGAATTTCTCTTTGAAAGGGGGGCATTTTCGACACAAAGACTACTACTCGACACCTCACAGCACCTGTGGAGCATTGAACTTGTCGTTCAATATACCGGGTGAGAAAAAAAAAACGCACCGCTCTCTGAGATTCATTGGAGTTCATGAGATAGAAGATTGCAAGCAAATTTTTTTTCTGCAACGACTTCTATGTATCCTTGAAGCGTCGTAAAATTCTGGTTCGTTTTTCTCCAGCCGTTTTAGCACAGGTGCGAATTTTTATTTTTGCGCGAGGAAACGTACCCAAGAAAATGCTGCTCTTAGCGAAAAAATGGGGTGAGTAGAACTTTGCACGAATTTTAAGGTAAAAGATTAAAGAAATATAGGTCTATTGTTAAGAGATTGAATCACAAGCTGCGAGGAACCGGTTTATCTGAGAGGAAGCAAAGCAGCGGAAGACTAAAATTAGCCGGAACCGAAGGAAACTGCATTCGTGGTATTGTATCTCAAGATGATAACCCTGGAATGCAAAATTATTACAAGCAAATTGCCAGACGTAAGGACGAGTCAGAGATCTGCTAAACGAGTTTTGAAGTGCAGAGGAAAAAAATCCAGAGAATAAATGTCATTCCGTGTGGGTGGGACAGGTCCTCCTGTTAGCGTCCAGTTGCGAGTGCAAAAATAAAAGTCCAGTTGCTTTTGTATTGGGTTGGAAAGAAAGTCTTGCAACACTTTCTAAAACTATTTATAAAATTTTCGAAGGAATGATGGGCGGGGCTTTGCATTTGTATATGCTGGAATGTTCTCGAAGCTTCTGCCCTCGGGGTATATAAGGCGGCTTCTGCCATTAGTTGGCAGCCATGGCTCCGATCGAACAATCAACTCTTCGCCCCATCGTCTACTACGAGTTCCTCCAAGGACACTCTGCGAGAGCCGCCGCGGACAACATCTGCGCTGCATTCAAGGGCAACGTCGTCCACTATTCTACGGTGTCTCGATGGTTGAAACGCTTGGAATCTGGCGACACGACCTTCGGAGATCGACCACGCTCAGGATGCCCATCTACAGTCGATGACGAAGCCCTGCAGAACGCCCTCAACGCGAAGCCGAACGCCACCACTCGCGAATCGGCGACTACACTTGGAGTCACCCATAGGCCATCGGCAACCATCTGAACGACCTCGGCTATCGGAAGGTTTACTCAACATGGGTCCCTCATCAGCTCAGCGACTCTGACAAAGCAAGCCGTGTCAGTGTCTGCGAATCACTGCTCCTTCGTCTGCACAGAAAGGACCTTCTGAAGGAAATCGTTACTGGAGATGAGAGCTGGGTCCTCGACGTCAACCATACTCGCAAGAGTCAGTGGCTTCCACGAGGAGAATTGCCGCCACACGAACCGAAACCAGGGTTCCACGAGAAGAAGGTTCTTCTCTGCTGTCGGTGGGATTCAGAAGGAATGTTGTACTATGAGCTCCTGCCAACCGGTACCACCGTGACTGCCGTCGTCTACGCTGCTCGACTTCAGAAGTTGGCTGGCGTCATTCAAAAAGAGCGTCCCAAACGCGACAAAGTTCTCCTTCTGCATGACAACGCTCGTCCACATGTTGCGAAGATGACTCGCCAGACGATTTCGGAACTGGGCTGGGAAGTTTTACCCCATCCAGCGTATTCTCCGGACTCGGCCCCTTCCGACTATCACTTGTTCCGGGCCCTCAAGAATCACCTGCGGGACAAGGCCTTCGACGATCGAGCACAGCTCGAAAATGATGTCGGCCGTTTCTTCGCTTCGCAATCGCCAGAGTTCTGGGCAAAGGGCATCGAGCAGTTACCCGTGCGCTGGGAACATGTCATAGACAACAATGGTCATTACATAGTAGAATGAAACTGCATTTCAATAAAGTTATAAAATTTTGAAAAATTTGCGCAGAGTGTTGCAAGACTTTCTTTCCAACCCAATAAAATCACTATTGTGCCAAAACAGCTGGAGGTAACAAGCCAACAATTTTCGAATGCTCAAAGGATGCGTAGAGGTGTGCATGAAATAAATTTTTTAGTTCTAGCTGCTGTTTCAGAGGTGCCACAAAATTTCAAAGAGCAGCGCGTTTTTTGTCTCACCCGGTATAGAGGCTAGATATGCAATGGTTTATTTTCTGCCAGAAGCGTTTTTATTAATCAGCACTTTTAATTTATATTATATTTTGGGGTCAACCCTCCCTCTCCCCTCCTTACGAGCACCCACCTATTCCTTTCGAAAAGGCAACACATTTCAACCCCTCCTGAGATTTGAATTATGCACGAAAGAGATTAATTTTTATTTTGAAGATACAGGGTGTTTCAGTCAATTAGCCACCATTTTAAAATAATATAACTCTTGAAATATGAAAGCCATCACGACGACTCTCCTACCATGAGATAGAGCAGACTTCAAAGTTTTTTTCTGTTCAGTTCGCAATCCTAACTTGACACGATTCACGTATCAACATGGTGTACAACCCATTAACACATTAAATTTCGCGAACGCATCATCTCAACCTGCTATCCACACATGTTCAACTGTGGTTTGTCGCGGCCCCGAACTGGCCCCGACATCAATCTGTCACTTTCTCATTTAGGGATACCTAAAGGAATAAGTGTTCAAGAGAGCTACCCGGTCGGTCCCTGAACTGAAGCATGCAATAACGGACTGCGTTCATGAAATTGACGATGAGCTGCTGAGTAACGTGATGAACAACATGCTCTACGCCTCCGTGCTGTCAAGAATGTGCATGGTTATCATATTGAGCATACCTTGCGCTGAATTTCACGTGAAAAAAAAACTTTGAAGTCTGCTTTATTAAGTGGCATGTGAGTCGCCGCTGTAGCTTGTATACATTAAAAGTTATATTATTCTGAAATGGTGATTGATTGACTGAAACACCCTGTAGGAATATATAGAGTTTGACATGGTTGGCAGTGAAGAGCAGATACTTTGCAGCATATAGGAATGAGTTCGTCACACGTGAGGGACTTCCGAATTCAGTTCAGGGGACTTAATAAAAAACTTTATTTATTTTTTTTTACCGGATGCAAACAACATACATGCGTTATTGGAACTTCGAATGGGGGAGGGCACTCTCACAGACAAGCCTATCGCATAACTGTCGATCGTGGTATATTGAAGGGGAGGAGAAAAAGTCAAAGTGAAACGAAGAGGTGAGCCCGAATGGTTATCAGGTGCAGAAAAGACGTGCATGTTCGAGATCGTGAAGGAGGGAAGACAGAAATCGTGTCTTCCAACCGTTCATCACAGTCTTTCCTATTCCGTTGGGGAAATACTGTCAAAAACTGATGGCATGTCGATATTGTGAAATGTCAAGAATTCATTCTCGAGGGCTTTTTTTTTTCATCATGTGCTCCCTGAAGGATGCTTGAATCTTGGCGGCTGCAGCCCCGACAGCCGGATCGTCCAGATCGATGTCCACTTCCTCCTCCTCCTCCTGAAAACAAACCGATATCACTTTGCATTCATTGCTTCAATATTTCCATCCGCACAATCCCATAAAATTAGGAATTCATGTAACATGTGGCTATACTTCTCCCAAAGGCAACTCCACCGCTAGTGTCGCTACGTAGCTCTGCAAGTCGTACGATATGTGGCGCCATCGTTGCTAAAATTCAAGACGGCAGCAGTGCTAGATCCTTAAGGCTCTGTTACACGGTGTACCATAGAATCTTCAGTTTCTCTAAGAGGCGCTAGATGCAGGGCCGCCCAGAGGTTTCCAGGGGCCCGGGGCAAAACTAAACCGGAGACCCCTTGGAAGCCCCCTTGAGGTCCTTTGGAGGCCCCCCTTGGGACCCCTTGATAAGTGGGGCCTGGGGCAGATTGCCCTAATTGCCCCCCCCCCCCTCTGGGCGGCCCTGGCTAGATGGCACCATTTTTTGGCCGAACGGTGAAGGTCATCATTCAGGAAACTCTCCCTTGAATTCCAGCTAGAGAATTTTTCAGCCAGAGTTCTACAATATCAATCCCCACTACAGGCTGATAATCTCCAGGGGGCTGGCTGACTGGTGTAGAGTGCTGTATATTTCAAGAGAGACCTGGGTTCGTATTCTAGTAAAGAGTAGTGGGAAAGACCCCTCTACATCATGCAGGAAATCGATGGAATCCTGTAAGGCAAAGGAACTAGCGCCACGTAACTGAATCAGAAAAAGCCCCTGCCCTTAATGCAGAAGACTCCGGTTCGAGTTCCGCGAAGAGTATGGTTTTTATTTTTGTTCATTTCTATTTTTTACAGGCTTGTTAAGTGCTTCTTGAAAAGTTATAATAAATCCTATAGAAGATAGAATCCCTAGTTTTCTTCCCGTTCGAGTACGTTTCTCGTTGATAGAAAGCCATTTTTCCTCTCAAAATTTGGCAGGACCTAAGATGCTGTAGCTGCGCATATGTAAAAGGAGGTATAATTAACAAAACACCTGATAATTACCTGTATTCCATGATGTATGTGCCCGAAAACAAGACACTGGAAGTGTAATTTCATGATGCATTGTTCTCAGATCGGTATTCAGGCAGGTGATGATAAAATCACCTGACACTGAAGCTAAGGTATCGCAAGTTTTTCAAGCAGGTCCGCATACCTGTCGGTATTGTAAGATGTATTAATAAATGTTGCCTTTGTCAAAACAGTTGTATTTCGCCGACTTGCAGATGGTTCTGTTAATTAGTACAGAAGCGTTTGTAACTACACCATTGATGATCTGACAGGAGAAAATATGCGATATATTAATTTTTCAGGGAACAAGGACATGCCCTTTTCATACTGAAGAATGATAACTGAAGATTACTTGACTTTGCAACTGAGAGTCGAGAGTCTTAGCTCCCCGACGCACAGGCTAATATTCTTCGATTATCATTCATCGTTACAAAGTTTAAGTGAATTTTTGCTCTCCCGAAAGGAACTAAATTACATATTCCATCTTTTGTCAGATCATCAGATATGCTGATTCTGTGCTGACGTAAAAAACACGAATGAGGTGATATTTCTTGTTCCAGAACAATATCTGCTCTTCGTAAATTGGCGTGCGCGATGCACGACGGCAGACAATACTAGGCAGCGAAAGTGTGGCATCATTGAAGGCTTCGACTGTGCGAGACAAACTGCCATGACCAACGGTATTCAAAGTGTGGTCCGGTTTCTGTTTCCATGCGGCCAACTACCGCGTACAAATAATCGATTTTTGCATATTAAACTTTGCAGAAATATTGGATTTTCCATTGCGGCCCACTCCAGGTTGACCAAAGTATCCTTGGGGTCCTCATTTCAAAAAGCTCGGGGACAGCTGGCCATGGCTTTAATTTGGTTTTTCGTGAACGAATAACCAAGATATGCTCTATAAGAGTTACCATGATTATTCATATAGATATCCCTCTTTCTCACCTCGACGAATGATCGTCTTTAGAATCTCGTTGACGAATACAAAGCTTAGCCCAAGCGCACTGGTCCGTGCAGGTTCTCTCAACACAGCGTTCGCGCAGGCCTGGTCCGTTCGGGAAATCATTGAAGTTAGGAAAATATTTGCTAATCCCATATGCGGAAGTGCACGTCATGGAAGTGTGCCCATATGCAGCTCATAAAAAAAATACACCTGCGACCAGGCCCTACAATCGATGTTATATCCCAGGTAACACAAGACATCCGACGTATACACGGGGGAAGTTTGCTGGGCATGGCCCGTCCACCCCATACCCTTACAGGGTGACACAGGGATCTCCTCCAGTTGGAGTTCTAACAGAAAGGAAAATCATATTTTTCATTTCTTTCGTGAAGCAGCATTTTGTTTCCAATTTTCCATGTGCCATATTTTTGTTGAAATTTTTGTCATTCTTGGGGGGACGTTGCCCCCTCAATAACATAGTTGGGGGAGCACCTGCCCCTTTGCCCCCTGGGTTCGGTGCCTATGCTTCCTAGGGTCTCATTCCTTTACTGCTGTGACCGTCGGAATCCAAAAGGGATTCAGATGTCTTTCATGAACTCGGAATCGGGGTAGCACTCCAATTATAGATCAGGTGCCGGTCCTCGAAAAGAAATGCGTGGCTAGGACTCTCGTAGCCAAACGAAAATCCCAACTACGCCTGCGCTACGGCGTAGTGCCTCCTGTCTTACGCTTGCTTCGCCTGAGCCTGAGAGAGACGAAGATGGTGGAAGGTAATATCACTGGAATTTCATGACGTCATTGAACTTACCCACCGACCGGACACGACCAGACCGATCATGTGAACCTGCTCCCCATTCGTGATGAGTTTTTTGTCTCTGTCATAACGCCACCAAGAGCGATAGTCATCATTTGAACGGGTTGAGTCCTTTTTTTCAGTTATACCTTCGTTGTACTGCGATTAAAGCCAAAAATAAGCCAAGTAGAAAAAGTCCATGTCTCGTTCGGCGAGGAAAGCCTTGGGGAGGCAAATAAGAAGAGGGATTTTATGGTTATTAGCTACAAGGGACTTCAATTATCTGAGCATACACAGTCAATGGCAGCTGAATTGTAATAATATATTGGGCTTCATATAACTCTCGATTAGCAGTACGAGCTCCTGGATTATTCTTCCTTCGCACAAGGTGTGGGTAGGTTCCACTTAGGCGTTTTCCGTCGAATTTGGAGGCTTGAAAATAAAGGAGACTTAATGGCACTGCAGAAGATTCAGTGGGGGGCTAACATCTTTATATGGGATGGTTGAGGAATTTCATACGAGAGGGATTTCCACGAGTTGAAGGAGTCACAGGATAGAAGATTAATGAAAGGGATCTCATTTAAAAATGTAAGATCATTAAGGGCTTCAAAAACGTGGAACCTGAAGAAGCTTTTCAATTTGAAAGAAACAGCCGGAATTTCCTGATTGCTCAGAGGCTTTCCAGATGCCGAAATATTTCGATTTTTCCCGATGGTTTAAATAGATAATCAAGGATTCCGTAAAACCCTTTTACGAGTTCTTATCCCCACGATTCTAATTCAGCTCACCTAAAACACTTCGTAAACGAAGCGAAATGCCGTGAAAAAAAAATCGGTGAACATGAATTCCACCACTAGTATGGAAGTGAACCGTCTCGAAACGGCGAACGTGACCTATGGTGGTGAGTGGTTATAGGCTTTGATTGTTCACCAACGCTGAGTTGGAGTCAAAGGGGACCTCGGAGTGTGAGAAAACAAAAATGCACCCTTAATGCTTCCATCCAGAAGAGCTGAGGAAACTCTATCTCCCGGCTCGATTTTGCGAAAGCGATCTTCCATCGACGAGAAAAGTTTCCTTTTATGGCATTATGCAAGCAATTACTTATGACGAACAGTGGCGTATGCAAGGGGAGCACAGGGGGCTCGAGTCCCCCCCTCCCCCTTTCGGGCCGGCCTAACGAGGTAGGCGAATAGGCGACCGCCTAGGGCGATGGATCTCGGAGGGACGGCAATGCGTGCAACGTTTTCTATGGTACCGAAATTCTCGCCCAACATTTCTCCTTGGTTCTTCTCTCTTCGCCCAACCGCCTGCCTAGCCACCCCCCACAACAGTCGCACGTAGAGCCAGCGCCGACCTTGCCTGGCCACTTCGTCATTCACTTGCCATATTGCCAACCCCTCCCGCCTTCCGTAAATCCTGCACACGCCACCGATGACGAACGATATTGCGGCTTTTCCTTCCTGGCGTGCACATAGTCTTGATAAAGCCATGTGTTGTTGGTGTTCGATTTCATATCCTCGTTATTTTTGGCATGCACAAATAGAGAACTGGGGATAACAGCAACTGAGCGCATATGGGCTACATGCTTCACTCGAGTGAACATCTGAGTGCGTGGCAGTGGGCGCATGGGGGAGCAGGGAGTGTACAAATGGTAGCCACAAGAAACAGCAAAAGAAGGAAAATTCGTTCAAGTTGCGCAAACTCGAGACTCCTACTTACGAAGTGTTTCTTTTATTTGTCGGGTAGTGAGTGCATGGAACGCGTAAGGGGAAAATGTCGTCCCTGTCCCGTCTGAGCATAGCTTTATGATGAGGTCAGAGGCTTCCATGGGAAAATAAGTAAATAAATAGACAAGAAAACAGCGGAGCAAGGTAGTAGCTAGGCAGTGGATTCACAGGTACCCACCAAAATGCATTTATCTTGGGAAGAGTAGTCCTATCGTAAATGGCAAGGGAGTGTGAAGCGCGCTAGACCTCTTCTGCGGATATCAAAATGGACAGAAATGCCTCTATTGGATATCCTTACCTTGAATCTCACTGGAGGAACATATACTTAATGGGGGTAGGTAAACTAGTCCCTTAACACGTTCCGGCTTTCTGGTGTCGACGCACCGAACGTGTTAAGGGGCTACGCTCATGATGCGCTTCAGCAACCCTATCTCTTTATTTACCCAGGCCTCCTGCATTGGACGAGAGAGAGAAACTTTCTGCGTTGACGCCAGATCTAGGGCTGCCACCCGTTCATAATTAGCATGGACAGTTCACATTTCAGATTCAATGTACATACAGCAAACTTGTCTTAATATGAGCACTGCTTCATCCATACTTAACACTTGTTAAGATTTTTTGAGTCAATAAAGCTTAATAGCAGCTAAAACCACTCTTTTCTGCAAGTCAGAGTAGTAGGCCACATTCTTATAGATTCAATAGGTACTTTGGCTAAGGGTGGCTGTAGGTATTTAAAGTATGCATGGGAAAGTCACATAAGCAAGTATACTTCTAATATTTGCCCATATTTCCACATGTCCACAGTCCATATGTCCATATTTTGTTAATTTTAAAGGTGGCAACCCTAGCCAGATCTTACATTTAGCTTTTATTCCTCGACCCACCGGAAGGTCGTAACGAAGTGAACGTAAGTTTAGGTTACGGTTGAAAGGGCGAATGGGTGAGGACTAGTAGAGGAGGAGGAAAAATTTAGGTCTTGAGTAAGCACGGAAATTAATGATAGCTATGCCGTTCGTGACGGATCAAAACCATGCCACAAGGTGAGAATTGGTCAGGTCGTTCCCTAGACGGAGTTTCATTTTATCTCGACGTACGGCTTCCGTGTGTGGGATCTCTATAAGCATGCGAGGCCTGGTGTAATGTCAGTGGCCATTAGAGAGGGAGGGGTCGGATGGGTGAGGACCTGTAGAGGAGGGGGAAAAATTTAGGTCTCAAGTAAGCATGGAGATTAATGATAGCGATGCCGTTCGTGACGGATCAAAACCATGCCACAAGGTGAGAATTGGTCAGGTCGTTCCCTAGACGGAGTTTCATTTTATCTCGACGTACGGCTTCCGTGTGTGAGATCTCTATAAGCATGCGAGGCCTGGTATAATGTCAGTGGCCATTAGAGAGGGTGGGGTCGGATGGGATGATTGTCCGTCAGGTGTATTACCACTATACCATCGTACCCGGGGATATTCAGTCGCACCTCTTCGTGCCATTCCTATCACTGCACTGGAATATGGGGAATTAGGGTGGCGATTGTGGTCCAGCGGGGATAATCTTCAACTGGGCCCTCAGCACACAACCATCACAGGCACACTCCCATAAGCGATTCAGAGCAGAAACTAACTACATCACCCTCTGTTGCATCAAATTTCCTCTTTTTCCTCCTCCACCTTATGTCTCAATTCCCCTTTGAAAGGAGACTCCCTGGGATCAATGAAACCTCGGGCCGCGCAAGGGATGTGCCCCTCCCCGGAGACTCCTTGCCAGGGATGGGTCGATCGCAAACGTAGTTTTAATCGGATTTAATCGATTATACTCTCTCAAATAATTGATCATCATAATTAGGACTTAAAAGCCAATTTAATCACTTTCATAATCGCAAGCAGAACGTTTTTGTCCCAGGTAATCATAATTACAAAAAAATTAATTCGGCGACTGTAATAACGCATGTTACCGCTAAAAAAAAAGGCGAAAACTCACGATTGACCAAAACAAGCAGATTAAAATTGGGAAGTATGCTCCATATTTAGATATTTATTCTGCTTGTCACGCTCTCATCTTTGAAGAGTTTCATCTGGGAGGACTTGTAAGAAAACAGGCAGGTCAGACAAGCGAAAATTGGCTACTTGGTATACGTATAGGTCATGTCCTATCCACAACCCCCGTAACGGAGGGGGCGATGTTGCGTTATTGTACCGTACCCTTTGATGATTTTTAACTTCGTCTTGTTCATAATATGAAAAACTTCTACTTCAGATAATCCTACACACAATTGTAGTCTTAATGTTGTCATGTAATCGCAATCGCAATTTTAATATGCTTTTTATAATAAAAAAAATCATAATCGTAATATAAGTTTTTGGGGGGTTTTAATCCTTAATTCCAATCGCAATCGAGTTTCATTCGTGGAGTTTAAACGCATTCGCAATCAATTACAATGCAACAGTAGTCGATCCATCAACTTCCTTGCTTCTCCAACACTAAGTCGCGAGGCGAGTGACAAATCTATTAACACGTTGACGACCAGCCTATTTTTGCTTGTCCGCCGCGTGGGACCACATGCATTTTTTTTGTCAAAAAATGCGTCCTGCCATCAGGACGCATGGTCCTAATCTTCTGGAACGTTCTCAACAGTTCCAGAGGGTATTCATTGAAAAAAAATCTGCATCCTGGCATCAGGACGCATTGTCACCAACGTGTTAAGATTGAATATATCAGTAAACTGACAAGTGGATGACATAATTACGTACGCTGTCATAGAAAGAGGGCGGCTATAATTTTGAAATTTGAAAGCAAGATGGAATGATATGAAATACCATCGATGAGGGGAACACCTTCTATCTGTGAAGAATGGAGAAAGTATGTGGTGGTTTTCCCTTCTCTCGCCACCCTGTATATTGACAAAGACGATTGAAGGGAGGGGAGAGAATATCGAAGGGAGCATCTTATAGCGGTGAGATTATGATGGTGATGGGAGATGGGACCGAGTAAAGGGGGCCAGAGGGTTCCTATCCGCCCCCTCCTTTCTCCGATGAAGCTAATTAGACTTTCCAGGCTGTCAGAAAGGCGGCCCTTGTTTTCACATAGAAGAACGAGTAACAGTTTCCTTTGGATGTTTCATAACAGCCAGCAAAAAAAAAAACACCAAACAAAACCCAGGAAATCCTCCTCATTCAAAGGCAAAAATGGGGGAAAAAACGCAAAATCCCCATACGATGAACATAGTGAACTACCTCGGCATGGATCTCGCAGCCGGTAAATCTCATGTTTTGCTGTACGCAATTCGGCAAAGAAAAAGTCATTTCCCACAAGTAAAAGATACACAGTGAGCTTCTCCCTCAAGTGGACTTCAAGGCGTTAAAGTACTTTTGCCACGTGGCAGTGGTGGCGAATTGAGGAAATGAGGCAGTTAATTTTTTCGCTGAAAAACAGTGGACACTTCCTTAACACCGGATGCTTGCATAATCAAGATGTCGAGTTTTATCACGTTCGGACACGTTTAGGACCTTATGAGAGCCTCTTCCTTAAAGTTTAGAAAGTTCACATAAAAGTGGAAACTCACTGTTTTCCTCGGAGGATTGCACGAGAGATCCTTGAGTTTCACTTCAATTTCTTTTTCACGTCGAGCTTTTTCGGCGTCCTTCCTCACCAGATGACCCCGAAATCCTGCCTGAATCTTTACTGCTGCATCCACCAACTCTAAAATATAGAAAAAAGTGAAATTTATGCACAGGTTGAAGGGACCGAAAGTGCAGCCTCATTTTAGGAAGCCTGATGACGAGGAGAGGAAATTAGGTTTGCCTTGCCCCTTTGCTCAGAAATTCTTCACTTCCACTTCCAAGTTGCTTCTCCTTTCTTTCTTTCCATTTCCCAGAAGTAGAAGGGACAAGATCACGGGACGGGGCAAGGAGATGATAGAAGATTGCAAGGGAGGGGAGCTGGGTTGATGGTAGCCCTTCTGCGTCTGAAGGGGGATTCTATTTCCCCAGCTCTCCCTTCATCTTTTTCTCCTCCCACTCATTCTCGGCCCTTATTGACTTTCGCAGTAGATGTAGCGACCTTGAGTCGAACGATCGAGCGGGATGCCCTATCGCCATTGCAAACTTTACATACGAGACCCAATTCGTGATAAAGTATCCCAACAAAAAAAGGATAAGCCTAGCTTATGGAATTATATTTTTTCCTAACTCGGTCAGAACTGTGAACGGCAACCTAAGACAAGCTGAGGAGGTGAATCCATCTCGTTTCTCTGTTTCATGTCCTAGTCGATTTGCCAAGAGCTCAGAACCATCAAAGTGAGACGAGCTTTTTCGATCAGACGGTCTTATGTCACATCTTACGTCACTTCTTATGTGTAGTAGAATGATTAAAGGTCGGAGGAAATAAGCAGTTCTTAACGTTCATGAAATGTCCTCACGTGAGTGAGAATAAGAACCCACGAGAGGGAATAAAATGGATTCCAACTTTTAACTGGTAAACCGAGAAGTGGATAGGGATGATGTATGGAGTTAACCAGCTCGGATGCAAGTTCATTCTTTTCCCCTTTACGTCTCCCACGAGAGGAAGTTCACTGTGGGTTTCATCTCTTTCTCTTTCTGCTATTAGCACGAGAGATAGAGCGAGAGCGAGGCTGCTGCAGTTGATAGGACGTGAAGGCGCTCGGATGGAGATTGAAGTCGGATAGGAAAGGCATGGCAAAGACCGAGAGCATAGACGCGTTATTGAGGATGAAAGAAGACGAGAAGAGGAAATCCAAGAGAGACCGGTTCAAGTACGAAGTGAAAGGGAACCGTTACCAGGGTATGCACATGGAAGGATTCCTAAATGGGTGCAACAGGTCCTTGAAGGAATCCCTTATGAATCAAACCTCCAAAAATAATGAACTCGAGACCTGCCAGCTCAGCTCTCTACACGGATGCGGCAACGACTCTTCTGAACGGGCTTGCAATGATCTCCTTCTGCGAACGTGAACGGGTAGGAGTTTGAGGAGTGAAGATAACGAGAGAGATGGAAAGTTCCCCAGATACTTGAGCATATCTGGTGATCCGTCGAAGGAAGCGAAGGAAGGAATGGGGAAGAAAGGGAAAAAAATGGAGGTGGATCCTGGGGACACCGTTCCCGTCCTGCAAAACTATTATTCTCCAGGCCGATTGCCAAGGCCAAGCCGAAGAAGCTCCTAATCGCACACTGTTGCATTCCCTCTCTCTCATACATTCTTCATGGCCCTTCCTCTGCTCTGTCTATCTTTTTCTCTCCCAGCCAATAGTCTTTACCAAGGAACATTAGGTCACTCTATATCCTTCCCACTGTTGGGGCTTTTATTTTTGTCATTTCCCTCGTAGCACTCAGCGACGACATATGGGGCCATGAAAGGGCGTCCGTAAGTGTGGGTCGACCCTCGGATGCCGTGCAATTAAGGCCGCTGTCCATTTACGATGGCCGGTTGTCATGGTACGTCTCATAACGGTGTCGTCCCAGAGACTTAAAATCATATGGAAACGTCAAATTAGACAGAAAGCGAAGAAGATCGATGTGCATGCAGTGGAGAGGATGGAAAAAAAAGTTTCAGGATGATCGATTTGAAAAAAAAGAGGATATAACTGAAGAGAAGGGAAGGGCCTTATCGTGAATCTCGGAGCACTGGGCTGATCCCCGATGGGATTTCTATGAACTCAACTGCCTTCATCTCGGTACGGAGAGCGAACAACGATCCTTTGTACAGGCCAAAAAGTAAATCGCATCAGGCAGGCCCTCCTAGATTTGGTGCGGTCGTCCTTTGCCTTAGCGACGTTGAGCGTATTTTATCGACCCCTCGATGCAAGGGCGGGTCGTCTTTCTCTATCGAAGAGCCGTGGCTTTCGCTTGGCTGCATCACATAGCATCCCTGTATACCGTACCTAGAATGACGAACGTAGTCCGCAGGGACAAGGGCTCCCTCTTCGTTTGGTCGATAGGTCTAACCTTCAGCTCCCTTGCTCCATAGGATCCAATGAAGCTACGGAACAAGACTGAACTTTTATCTTTTTCCCCCGTTAGAAGGCAGACGCAAGTTTTGATAGGATAGGCATATACCAGTGTTCCAAGGTAGGAGCAATTTCCCTCGATAAGCTAAGGTAATTGACAACGCGAGTCACAAGTTTCTCATGTTTATAAGTACAGTATGGTGTGAGGGAAGGAGGGGGAGGGGCAGGATTCATTCTATAATAATAGGGTTGCTATTTAAGCACTGGGAATAGTTACAGGAAATTGCAAACCAGACGCGGAAAGGACATGTGGACTAGATATACATCTATATCTATATCACTATTGTGACGGATGAGGATGGCATCGAGAGGGTCGACTGGATGTCCGGGGTTCGGTGGTGTAGTGGTAGCACACCTGACCGGGAATCAGGAGGCCCGGGTTCAATTCCCGGCCGTTCCTTGGCTTCTTTCGTCCTCTCATGCCTTCCATCGTCCGTCTCCCACTTTCCCTCCGTAACGCTATGTATATCTCTAGATATACAGGTACAGTATATCTAGTCCACATGTCCTTTCCATATAATCCCCTGCATTTGCACTTATTTTTCAAATCTGTGAAGCCATTACTTTAAATAACTAAGAGAGAAATCTTATGGTAGTTTTTAACGACAATAACGGGTAACCAGGGCCGCCCAGAGGGGGGGGGGGGCAATCTGCCCCGAACCCCGCTATCAAGGGGTCCTAGGCTTAGTTTTGTCCCGAGCCCCTGGAAACCTCTGGGTGGCCTGGGAGTAACTTCTGCCTGTAAAATCTGTCGGTTGAAAATGGTGACCGGAGTGCTTTAGCGCTGGAAAGAGCCAAAAGCCTAATCGGGTAAATTTCTGCTCCATTCGTCAATAAGGCGGATGGAGCAGAACCTCATACGCAAGTCGTGAATTATTTCCATAGCAATACGAGCCGCAGTCGCTAGGGAACCGTCTACATGCAACGTCTCTCCTAACAGTTTTAAACGAGGTCTCTTTTTCTTCAGCACCGCAAATTTAATTCGCTTTTCAATTCAGCAGCAAATTCAAAGGTGAACACTAAAGGTCCCTTGACCTGGCTCTTTCCAGCATCCCATGGCAGGTGAAAGGTACCAGTGTGGTCATGCCTAACGCCGACAAGGCCGACATGGGATACAGGGAGGTACCGCAGCACTTTAAACCTTCATGGGTGAGAGGATACCAATCGCTGAGTTTTACCAAAGCTGAACATTTTCATGAACAGCAGTTCACTGAAACTCTTTTTAAATTCTACATGGGAAGTCTAAAAAAAAAAGTGCGTCACTCGAATTGTAGCGAGTCCTGCAAGCAGGAAAATTCTTGTATACTTTTGTTCACCATGAAGAGATCAAGTGCGACAACTTTCCCATAAGTACCTGTCTCTTGTGTTATTGCATAATGGCATAATGGATTTTTAATCACATGAAAACCATCCCATAAGTCCTCTTACGTACGAGACAATGATAGCAAAATAGAGCTTAATAGCGGTATCTTGGCGGTGGATTTTTGCGGCAAAGAGTGAGTTTACAAAGGAGACTATACTTACTAGTGAGATAGTTACTCTCGGAAAAGTAGGTCATTCTAGCTCAAATGAAAAGAAGGCTGTCGCCGACCCCCTCAGAATTGTATGAAATATTCTGGGTCGATGAGAGGAGAGAGACGCGCCTACACTCTTAGAAAATAGAGAGCGATTTCCCTGAAAGGGAGCAAAACTGGAGTTGGCGATTTTACTTCCGAAAAATGAGAGAGTACAATCGATAATTACTCTCAAATCCTAGCAGAATCCATAACTTTTGTAAGAGCGTGAAACGAATGAGGGAGAGTATTTTTCAAATTAGTAGAAAAAATCAGTGATTATTCTCAGGAAAGAGAGAGGTGAGCGACATTACTTCCTCGTTTTAAGGGAGTAAAATCGCTAACTCCAGTTTCGCTCCCTTTAAAGGAAATCGCTCACTCTTCACGATAGTGATATCAAGAGGCGATTTCACCCATTTCGATATCACGTGTCGAGGTCGAGCGTTCCTTAATTTTAGGGTAGGCCTAACCCTCTTAAAGCTAAATATTTTTGTATTTTTGTTTTGTTTTGTTTTTGTTTTTGTTTTTGACTATCCTAGTTGCTTACTCTCTAGTACCTAACGTCAACATTGCCCCCCACCTTTTTGCCTGTCCATGAAAGCATCCAGTTTCTTCTTAAAGATAGTCACAGAAGGGGCAGCCACTACTTCGTCATCTAACGCATTCCACGCGATCACCACTCTGCAAGTAAAGAATTCCTGTCTCGACCTGGAAAAACCTACCACACTCGACATTGTCTATTCCTTTAATTATCTTGAAAGCCTGGATGAGATCGCCCCTCCTTAACCTTCGTTCGAGCGAGTACAGTCCCAACACTTCTAAACGCTTCTCGTATGATAGTCTATGATAGTCCCGTGACCTCCTTAATCATTCTTGTGGCCCTCCTCTGTACTCCCTCGAGCGCCAACAAATCGCCCTTATTTGTAGGCCTCCAAAACTGGATGCAATATTCCAACTGGGGTCTTATCAGCGCCGAATACAACGGAAGAATAACGCGCGAAGTCCTACTTGCAACCAAACGACAAATGTAACCTAGAATCCTGTTGCATTTGGCCATCGTCGCTTGCGCGTGCGAGGAAAACTTGAGGTCTTCGTCGATAGAGACTCCTAAATCTCTCTCTCC